CACCTCGCCCGACGCAATGCGCTGCGCGAGGCCCTCGGCGATCGCGGTCTGCCAACCCCGGGCTCGCCGATCAACACCGGGCTGTTCTTGGTCCGGCGCGAGAGCACCTGCACCGCGCGGCGGATCTCGTCTTCGCGGCCAATGACCGGGTCCAGCTTGCCGTCGCGGGCCATGACGGTGAGGTCGCGGCCGTACTTGGCGAGGCTCTCGCCCTGCGGCACGTTCTCCGGGTTGACCCACGAGGCAAGGCCTCGGTAGACGACGCCATGGCGGTGCATAGGCACAAGGCGGCGCGCGAGGAGTCGTGTCGACAGCATCTGTGCGTTCAGCGGCCACTTGGAATCTGAGCGGTCTGTCAAATTGAAGCCGTCGCAAACTCAATTTCGCTCGTTTTGAGTTTTCGAGCATTCGAGAATGCGATCGAAATCCCTCGGCCGTCTAAACACACGCAACTTGCAGTGCCATCGCAAAGACATGGCAAGCCGGCAAGCCATCCATAGCAGCAGCGTCGCACGGGCTGCTAAGTAGTAAGCGGCTGCAATTGCCACCAGCCGAGTCTACCTTTTCACCGATTTTACTGGTTCAAAGACGATCTTCAACTTGGCGAACCTGTAAGTCGATCGTACACTTGGTATACTTAAACACCACCGCCAAAAACATCAACAACGTCCACGTACTACTTGTGTATGAACTAATTTTTACGGACGACCACTGTTAAATATCGTCTGCGCAGTCTGTGGCAACCTTGAATGCCATCTCAGCGCAAGAACGGATGGGCGAGCAGCTCGATCGCTGTCGCGCGCTCTACACACCACACACATACGATGAGGTCGTGCATCCCGTCCTTTAGTATCAAGAGGACCCCGCGCGTCGATGCAAAAGCAGCGCGCCAAAAACGCTTTGGCCAGTGGCGGCAAGTCGGCAGGAATCGGCGGACTCGACGGCTTGACCGCCAAGTGGTACATGACCGACAAGTGGTTCGTATTCGCGGGCCACGGGTGGTGCGCGGTGGCCATCTCGAGCACGGTCGCACCGACGCTCCAGATGTCGGCCTTGCAGTCGTGGCCCGTTTGCTGAACCACTAGGCGCATGTAGCATCGTAGAATATTACCACGTGGCAACGCGATCTACCTTCGGGCGCCATCCATGGCACCGACCCGCGGATCGACCGCAAGCTCTCCTCCAAGCTGTCGGTCGTCGTCGTGGATGGCACTTGCTTGGAGCAGCCAAAGTCGGCGAGCTTGGCTTGTCCATGCTCATTGACCAAGACATTGGCCCCTACGCTTGCGCTCATCGAGGAAGAAGGCGACGGTGAGGACAGACCTTTGATGTCGCGGTGGATGATGCCTTTGCTGTGGAGGTACGCGACCCCCTCGAGGATTTGGCGCGTGAATTTCTGGATCATTTCGACACCAAAGACCCCAAACTGCGCCAACATGCTACGCAACAGAGTCAAGGGCCCGAGTGTCGGATACCAACCAACCTTGCGATCGATCCGTTCGGGACGTACTCCATAAAGATGTAGAAATGCAAGTCGTCGCGGTCCGTGCCTTGATAGCGCACAATGTGCACGTGCTGTAGCTCCTTCATGACGGCGATCTCTTCGCCGAGTTTGGCCAATTTTTTCTTGTCGTCGTCGTCATCGGTCCCGATACCGAGATCGATGGCTTTGACCGCAAAGAGCTCGCCCGTCTTGCAGTTGAGGCCTTTATAGACCTTGCCAAACGTGCCCTCGCCGATGAGCTCGCCCTTCTTCCACTCGATGCGCGACCGGTGCCACGGCAATGACGTCGCCTTGCGAAACACCGGCGACTTGGAGAGCTGCAAGTCGAGCTTGGTCGTAAACGGCGAGAGAAGCGCCAGTGGTGAGAGCGACGCAGTGAGCGCGGGCACTGCCTTCTCGCCTGACAAGCGCAATGGACGACCGTACCGCTGCCGCTCATGGGCGACGATGGACGGCGCATCGTCGTCGTTCTCGTCGTCGAGTTCGGGCTTGGCGCTGTCGAGCGAGTTGCCGCGCGGGCGGGTCGGCGCCTTGGGCGTGATGGCATGCGTGGCGCCTCTGGGCGCTTCTCGGATGCGGCCGAGGCGTAGTCGCTCATGCGGCTGCTTCTCGTCGAGGGCGGCAATTGACGACGGTGGCGACGTGATGTGGCCATCGTCCCCTTGGTTGTCGGTGATGGCTCCGCGCGGGCGGCGAGGCGATAAGGAAGGGCGCAGCTGTATATCGTCGTCTCTCATTCTTGCTTGGGCTTAGACGTGCGCGTTCATAGAGCTCTTCTGCACACCGTTGCCTTGCTGCTTGTCCGTCGCCGGTTCCACGCGCCCCTTGAAGATTGCCGAGTCCCGTTTCCAATTTCACCCGACGCGTCGGGTAGGAAATCCACTCGACGGCAATGCAGGCTTCGAACTTTTTTTTCCGTCATCCATGGAATCACTGCGGTCGCCGATGTGCGCTAGGACCGACGCCTGCCTCTGTCTACCACCCAGGGCCTACATCTCCCTGCTAGTGGTACAGTGTAATACATCATCCGTGAATGCGTCGTGGCGACCTGTCGTGGGGTGAGTGCAGGTGTGAGTGGCAGCTTTTCACCCGACGCCATTTCCTAAGCGACAAGCGAATTGGTCCTACGGCGCCTTGAAGCCATTAGTACATGTGTACGTACGGTACGTAGCTGCCAACGCCTCGGGACGCAGTGCGTCGCGACGACTCGTGGCGCTGCATCGAATCATGGCGCTCAACTATTGCATGAGGCGTGACCAGCTGGTTGCCTTGTCGGGTAGGAACCCCGGTTCATGGAAAACCACCCAAAGCCGAATGGCATCCGCGCCTGTGTGCTTGGCCTGCCACCGCCAGAGTCCGTCGCTGCGCCTCTGCGGCCAATGCAAGCTCGCGTACTTTTGCGATGGCGTCTGCCAGCGTAAGATCTGGAAGGCGCACAAGCCGGTCTGCCTCGCCGCGTCCAACCCGAGCGTCGACATGCAGCGCACGGCGCACTGCGGCAACGGCCTCGTCGCGACCAAGGCCTTCCGCGCCGGCGACCTCATCCTCGTCGAGAAAGCCCAGTTTGTGACCAAGCAAGAGCTCGCTCGGCAGAACGCGCTCACCCAACTCGGGTACACGCTCACGGCGACCAACGGAAATGACGTCTTGGCCTCCCATGGCCCGATCATGTCGCTCATCAACCACGCGTGCGTGCCCAACGCGCGCGTCAAGCGCGAGGCCGGGCCGTTCCGAAAGCTCTACGCGCGGCGCGCCATTGCGGCCGGGGACGAGATTTGCACCATGTACGACGCGGCGACGGACGACGACGAGTGTGCGACGCCCGCCATGCGCGCTGAAAAACGCGCGTCGCTCGTGGAGCGCTTTGGCCTCCACTGCAAGTGCACGCACTGCGTCCTCGACGCCTCGCTGGACTCGACAAGTGACGAATTGGATTGAGAAGACGACGTTGCGATAGCAATGATGTAATACACGGCGTCTCTACGCGTCGTAGTCGTCTTCCTTTGACCACTTGGTCTCCTTGGCGCTCGCGCGTTTGGCGTCGCCGGCCTTGGCGCCTTTGGCGTCCTTTGCGTCGTCGTCGTCGCTGTCGTAGTACGAGCGCTTGCTCTGCGCGCGGTCTTCGAGGATGTACTTGTACTCGGCCTTGTTGTGCATGATGAGCTCGTCGCCGACAAAGTAAAAGCTGTCCGAGACGGTCGCATACGGGTTCGCAACCATGTCTTGGATGAGGTCTTCGTCCAGCGACGGCACCGAGTAGATCGCGTCCCACGTGTTGGTCGAGCTCGGAATGCAAAAGCCAAAGGTAAAGTCATACGACTTGATGAGCTCGTCGCGGAAATAGTGGCGCTCGATCATGCGAAAGTTGTGGACCTCCTTGGGCCCGACGCAGAACTCAAGCGATGTCATGATCGAGGGCAGCCGCAGCACGTCGTCCGAGAACTCGTACCGAATCTTCCGAAACGAATCTTCGTCCAATGGCTGGGAGAAGTCGATCTTGGCGGCTGCACGGGGCGGGCAGTCGCGGCCGACCTAGCGCTCCATGGGATACATGGCGTGTCTTGCATGGCGTCTACCTGGAAGATCTTGCGCTTCGTGTCGTAGTCGATGATCTGGAACTTGAGAAAGTCGATGCCATAGACGTTGGCGCTCATCGGGCACAGAAACGCTAAGTGCAAAGTGAGCTCAATAAGAATATGCACTAAGAAGTACACTTGGTCGGCGTCTCGAGGTCCAAAATGTCCTCGGGCGTATAGCTCTCTCGCGGCATACTCGGATCGACTTGGACAAAGCTAAAGTAAGCGCGACGTTCCAGCCTCGGTTTGGATCTTGTCGTATCCGGATCGAAACCGACCGGGTGGGGCTTCGATACAAATTCGAAGCTCCGTCGATCGTGCAACCGCCGACTTTTCCGGATATGAGACGGCCGCTTGGCGCGCTAATTCGTACCCGTAATTCGTACTACCGACGAGTTATAGTACGCCGCCGACCACCACAACGTGCGAGGAAAGGGTATCGATCGATGGCGTCCAGTCCGTCGCTGGAGAGCACGACAACACTGCTGTTCGTAGCTACTATAAACAAAGACCGTAACAAAGGTCCTATATGCATCCACGTCACCAAGATGTTGCCACGGAGAAATTGCCGATATGTGTACGACTATGTAAGTTAATTGCGTAAAACTCGGTCCTGCTTTTGACGGCGGCAACGACGTCCGACGGCCATCGTTTGCACACGCCCGTCGACCGGCACGAAAAAGTTGTTTGGCTGCTCGATCGCGTCCCTGAGGGGGTGCGCAAAGCGGCTCTCTTGACTCTGACGAAGAGCCTTTCCCAATCGCGTGGTTTTGAATGCGCGGAAGCGTGTCCAGGAGCTGGAGAATCGCATCTCAAAACAGGTCGAAAACACCAGCCTCCTGGTCGAGAGCGCTTTCGTAGCCGAGGACCTTGTGGCCCTTGCGGCTTAAAGATATCGAACTAAGCCTCCAGTACGTGCTGGAATATTGGTCTCGAGCACGCCTTCCACTACATTCTCGAAGCTAAACTGAATGCGCGCAAATTCGGCAAAGGTACCATAACGTGTGTCTCGAGGAGGCGCATCTTTGTGTGCATGCCTTTCGTGCCGTCTTGTTAAATGCACTCGCGACGCCAGCACTGGGCACACGATCTGCGCAAGTACGATCGCTCCGAGGCGGAGTAATATGTAGCGCGCGCCATACGCCTGGAGGTTTGGGTTGGCTTGAGGGAGATCACATGCCCGAGTAAGACCAGTGCGAGTAGCCCGCCCGTGATCCAGTACCGAAAGCAGAGCCCAACGTTACGCGCCAAAAAGGCGAGTTGGTCGTCTCAATAGTATTGAGTCGAAGAGACCCGCGAGCACGAGCGAGACGGTCACGGACCAATCGGCCACCGTGGTGTTCTCGGACGTCAGCGATCTTGGGCCGACGATGGCGATCGCAAAACCGAGCCAGAGAAGTTTTTTGCATGCATGAGTTGCATAACGCCCCAAAGGAGCGCCAGGCCTCGCAAATGACAAGACGACGCGGAGGAGTGGGGTGCGTTTCTTTGAAAGTGTCATTGCTGCCGTGAGCTCCAACGTCAGCACGACGCTGAGCTCGGTCACGGAAGCGTCGCGTGGACGCTTGAGTACGCAAAGACGGCGAGGAATGCACACAAAATGGCGCCTTGGAGCCGCAAGAGCACGAGGATACCGACCGACTCGAAGGTCGGGGGTGACCTGCAAAGGGCGGTTTGAACTGGATACCGAATCGACGGGCACTGTGCCCGCGCCGACGCAAGATGAGAAGGATTGCAATCGGCATCGAAACCGAGAGCCCGAGCAGCGATGCGTATAGTGCAAGCAGATTTGCTGTCAACGTCTCCACTTGAAGCCAGAAATGTCCTGCCAGTCTAATTTTGGCGCGTAAATTTAGTTGACTTCAACCCCGCCACCATGCAGCACGAGGATGGCAGCCCGATCGAGGAAGTACGTAGCCAACGCACGCTTCTACACAGTCGAGTTACCATGCGACTAGGACACGTCGGAAGAGAATGCAATCGACATGATTGACGCGATGCGAAGCGCTGGCGAAGGCTTCTATGGCAAGGTCCAGTCGAGACCGACTGGAGGTTCGTAACACCATCTCGGAGACGCTGTGCGATTTCATTCTTATTATGAACGTCGTACTAGGCAACCACCGTCCGATTTCGGCGCCCCCAAAGCGATACCTCTCGCACGAGGTGTGCATACCTACAGAAAAAATGAGTTGCATCGCTCATGTCCATCTGTAGTCGGCGCAGCCTCCGCAGCTGGTCGAGACGATCCGCGGCATCACGTTGCAGACGTTGCCACCGCGACCCGAGAGCGCCAAACCTGCGCGCGCCTCGTCGCGTCAACGTAAGGAGACATCTTTGATTATAAAAACAACTCGGATCGCTTGTAGCTGTCCAAGCACACGTTCGCTTCCGCGACGTCGAGAGCCGAGATCGACCCGTCTCGGCACCGCAGCGTTTCGTGCGAGTAGTTCAACAGCCAAGCGGCGTGCACATGGAGCAGTGATGTCTTTTGAATTGTCGTAGAAAACATCGTCCACAACGTCCAAGACGTATTTACGTCGCGCAGCCGACAAGAAGAAGGAAAAAGAACGGGACTTTGCCGTGCGACGCAGAATCGCGTGTGTTTGACTAACCCACTTTTTGCTGTTTTAGATTGAGCTCTTTCAAGAAAAGATTGACCAAGAGCGAAAAGTGGCCGTCAAGATCGTACGGCGGCCGAGTGCGCACGTTTAAAATGCGAGTGACGGATGCAAGTAGACGCAAGCCAACAAGCTCATGCGGCGCCAAGGCTCCAAGAAGACCTACTACATGGCCAAGGTACGACGCGTACCGACCACCAGTGCGCCTTTGTGGATACGAGGCGTCATGGATAGAACCGCGATGACTTTGTCGCTGTGCGCGTCATCGAAGAGAACGTGCCGGAGCGCCTCTTGAGCATTGACGCCTTTGATATCCTTTGCCTTGCCAAGCTGCATGTTCGCATCTCATGTAGTCCGACCTAACGACATGACATGTACTCCGTGAATTCGAGCGCATGACGGTGCTATGGGCCGCCAAGGCCAAGGACTCGGCCCCGTTCGACGACGCGACGCCTGCCAAGACACCGTCGATTCGTCTGCATCCCAAGAAGGAGACGCAGTCGGGGCTGCGTATGATCCTCAAGGGCACGATCGAGCTCACGGCGATTCTACAAGAGCAGCTCTTTGAGCTCCAGAGCAAGGGCTGGAACTCCAACACGGCCAAGGCCCTCGTCGCACCACACCACGCGTCGTAGCTCGTCCCACTTGCGACTTACTAGCTTTGACGTTCGGAATCCCTTTAAACGCGCCGTTTGCCGCACTTTTCGCATATCTCGGCATTTCATTGGCTAGCCTGGTATCCTTCGAGCCAATCAAAGGCGCGGAAAGCATCGCGGCTGCGATTGGCCCGTTTGGCGATTGGTCCCTCATCTTCACCACCAATCAATAGAGCTTCCGGATACGACGCTGCAAGTTAGTAGCAGAGCAGCAGACCAACATGACGACGACGACGACGATGGACTATGGCGTCGTGGACCGCTTCTTCTGCAACGTCATGGAGCTCATCCCGAGCGCGCAGTACTTCCCGACCGAGCCCGAAGACAACTTCAAGCAGAGCATGAACAAGAAGTACCACAAGGGCGTCAAGGCGCAGCAGATTGCGGCGCTCGAGGACGCCGAGGACGAGCCCACCAAGCCGGTCGCGAAGCGCCTCAAGTTCAACCCGAAGCTCCAGCTCACGAACCAAGAGACGCAGCTCCACGAAAAGGAGAAGGAGGCTGCCAAGGCCGAGGCCTCGGACGACGAGGGCGAGCTCACGGGCCTCGATGGTCTGCGCAAGCGCCT